GACCGCGGGGTTTGTGTAAACCAGCCTCATATGAAAGGGTTTACTCCAGTAAACAAACGTCTTCATCGGTCCCAATACAAATAGGGTAGGCCTACCTCTTTACGAGTTTTTCAAATTTATATCCCATGTCAAGTCGGAGGCTATTTAGCGACCGCCATCTTCTGTCACCTAATGTCAAATGCGAGGCAAACGTGCCCACAATTAGGTCTTCGTTTCGAATGACGGTCTGTCCCAGTTCAGGTGAGTGAAAACTCAGTAACGCTAACCGTGGCCTCAACATTTCAGCCATTTAGTTTTTCACAATTGAATTCAGCAACGATTATTTAAGTTTACGATCTAATTCAGACAACAATGACCGTGCAGAAGCGCGGGGCCCTTTCAATCACAGGCCGGGGGCGACCGCCCCGTTCGCTAAGCCACCCCCAAACGCTCTAATGACATTAAATCCTGACCACGCCCCCAGTAACACGCAGCGCCACCTGAGAAATTTTTCAGCCACGTCGCTGATGAGCTTGTGCGCCGCGCAGTACGCCCAGGCTAAGTTTGGAAATAGCACCGTCTTTGGCATATGTTTCTTCTAAGTGAGCTTCTACGTGCTGACTAGCGTGGTGTGTGAATGATACTCAGCTAGATATTAACTCATGTGTATTTTAATTTGATGTTTAGAAACCAGGATAATTATCCAACATAACAAGTAGGCCTACATTGTGATTTAAAAAAAAAAAATTCAATACCTGATTAGATGGAGCCTATCCCTTAAGTATTTTAAAGCGCTCATCAGTTTGTGATTTTGATTGTATTTCGAGTACAAGAAAATAGTGACTAGATCTATCTTCTTTAAAAAAAATTGAACATTTAAACTGCTGTATGAAATAAAAAATCTGAGCAACACATTTCTCTTTTTGTGTGCTACCAATGTTAGAAGCTCATCACACTATATAAAACCATTTGCTTCTATCGTTATGGATATAAACTTCTTCTTAGCGTATGCTTACTGAGTTAGTGTTTGTCATTTCTTTCTGGGATAGAACTCCAATCAGAGATCTCGCCACACACTGGATATTTATTGCTGAAGATTATTGTCTCAAGATACTGTCTGGTCAGTGTGTGTCTGGTCAGTAAGTATCTGGTCAGTATGTGTCTGGTCAGTAAGTATCTGGTCAGTATGTGTCTGGTCAGTAAGTGACTGGTCAGTATGTGTCTGGTCAGTATGTGTGTCTGGTCAGTAAGTATCTGGTCAGTATGTGTCTGGTCAGTATGTGTGTCTGGTCAGTAAGTGACTGGTCAGTATGTGTCTGGTCAGTATGTGTCTGGTCAGTGTGTGTGTCTGGTCAGTATGTGTCTGGTCAGTAAGTATCTGGTCAGTATGTGTCTGGTCAGTATGTATCTGGTCAGTATGTGTCTGGTCAGTAAGTATCTGGTCAGTATGTGTCTGGTCAGTAAGTATCTGGTCAGTATGTGTCTGGTCAGTGTGTGTGTCTGGTCAGTAAGTGACTGGTCAGTATGTGTCTGGTCAGTGTGTGTGTCTGGTCAGTAAGTGACTGGTCAGTATGTGTCTGGTCAGTGTGTGTGTCTGGTCAGTAAGTGACTGGTCAGTATGTGTCTGGTCAGTGTGTGTGTCTGGTCAGTAAGTGACTGGTCAGTGTGTGTCTGGTCAGTGTGTGTGTCTGGTCAGTAAGTGACTGGTCAGTATGTGTCTGGTCAGTGTGTGTGTCTGGTCAGTAAGTGACTGGTCAGTGTGTTTCTGGTAAGTGCGTGTGTGTCTTGTCAGTGTGTGTGTGTCTGGTCAGTGTGTGTGTGTGTCTGGCCAATGTGGGTCTGGTCAGTGTGTGTGTTTGGTCAGTGTGTGTGTCTTGTCAGTGTGTGTGTGTGTCTGGTCAGTATGTGTGTGTCTGGTCAGTGTGTCTCTGGTCAGTGTGTGTTTCTTGTTGGTGTATGTGTGTCTGGTCAGTGTGTGTCTGGTCAGTGTGTGTGTCTGGTCATTTTGTGTTTGGTCAGTATGTGTGTCTCGTCAGTGTTTATCAGGTCAGTGTGTGTGTGTCTGGTCAGTGTGTGTCTGGTCAGTGTGTGTGTGTCTGGTCAGTGTGTGTCTGGTCAGTGTGTGTGTGTGTCTGGTCAGTGTGTGTGTGTCTGGTCAGTGTGTGTGTCTGGTCAGAGTGTGTGTCTGGTCAGTATGTGTGTCTAGTCATTTTGTGTTTGGTCAGTATGTGTGTCTCGTCAGTGTTTGTCTGGTCAGTGTGTGTGTCTGGTCAGTGTGTGTGTTTGGTTAGTGTGTGTGTGTCTGGTCATTTTGTGTTTTGTCAGTATGTGTGTGTCTGGTCAGTATGTGTGTCTGGTCATTTTGTGTTTTGTCAGTATGTGTGTGTCTGGTCAGTGTGTGTGTCTGGTCAGTATGTGTGTGTCTGGTCAGTGTGTGTGTCTGGTCAGTGTGTGTGTGTCTGGTCAGTGTGTGTGTCTGATCAGTGTGTGTGTCTGGTCAGTGTGTGTCTGGTCAGTGTGTCTGGTCAGTGTGTGTCTGGTCAGTGTGTGTGTCTGGTCAGTGTGTGTCTGGTCATTATGTGTGTGTCTGGTCAGTGTGTGTCTGGTCAGTGTGTGTGTCTGGTCAGTGTGTGTGTGTCTGGTCAGTGTGTGTCTGGTCAGTGTGTGTCTGGTCAGTGTGTGTGTCTGGTCAGTGTGTGTGTCTGGTCAGTGTGTGTCTGGTCAGTGTGTGTCTGGTCAGTGTGTCTGGTCAGTGTGTGTGTCTGGTCAGTGTGTGTCTGATCATTATGTGTGTGTCTGGTCAGTGTGTGTCTGGTCAGTGTGTGTGTCTGGTCAGTGTGTGTGTGTCTGGTCAGTGTGTGTGTCTGGTCAGTGTGTGTCTGGTAAGTGTGTGTGTCTTGTCAGTGTGTGTCTGGTCAGTGTGTGTGTCTGGTCAGTGTATGTCTGGTCAGTGTGTGTGTGTCTGGTCAGTGTGTGTCTGGTCAGTGTGTGTGTGTCTGGTCAGTGTGTGTCTGGTCAGTATGTGTGTGTCTGGTCAGTATGTGTGTGTCTTGTCAGTGTGTCTGGTCAGTGTGTGTGTCTGGTCAGTGTGTGTGTCTGGTCATTGTGTGTCTGGTCAGTGTGTGTCTGGTCAGTATGTGTGTGTCTGGTCAGTGTGTGTGTCTGGTCAGTGTGTGTGTGTCTGGTCAGTGTGTGTCTGGTCAGTATGTGTGTCTCGTCAGTGTTTGTCTGGTCAGTGTATGTGTGTCTGGTCAGTGTATGTGTGTCTGGTCAGTATGTGTGTCTGGTCAGTATGTGTGTGTCTAGTCAGTATGTATGTGTCTGGTCAGTGTGTGTGTGTCTGGTCAGTGTGTGTGTGTCTGGTCAGTGTGTGTCTGGTCAGAGTGTGTGTCTGGTCAGTATGTGTGTCTGGTCATTTTGTGTTTGGTCAGTATGTTTGTCTCGTCAGTGTTTGTCTGGTCAGTGTATGTGTGTCTGGTCAGTGTATGTGTGTCTGGTCAGTGTGTGTGTGTCTGGTCAGTGTGTGTCTGGTCAGTGTGTGTGTGTCTGGTCAGTGTTTGTGTGTCTGGTCAGTGTGTGTGTGTCTGGTCAGTGTGTGTCTGGTCAGTATGTGTGTGTCTTGTCAGTGTGTGTCTGGTCAGTGTGTGTGTCTGGTCAGTGTATGTCTGGTCAGTGTGTGTGTGTCTGGTCAGTGTGTGTCTGGTCAGTGTTTGTGTGTCTGGTCAGTGTGTGTGTGTATCTGGTCAGTGTGTGAGTGTATCTGGTCTATGTGTGTGTGTCTGGTCAGCGTGTGTGTGTATCTGGTCAGTGTGTGTGTGTATCTGGTCAGTGTGTGTGTGTATCTGGTCAGTGTGTGAGTGTATCTGGTCTATGTGTGTGTGTCTGGTCAGCGTGTGTGTGTATCTGGTCAGTGTGTGTGTATCTGGTCTATGTGTGTGTGTCTGGTCAGCGTGTGTGTGTATCTGGTCTATGTGTGTGTGTCTGGTCAGCGTGTGTGTGTATCTGGTCAGTGTGTGTGTGTATCTGGTCTATGTGTGTGTGTCTGGTCAGCGTGTGTGTGTATCTGGTCAGTGTGTGAGTGTATCTGGTCTATGTGTGTGTGTCTGGTCAGCGTGTGTGTGTATCTGGTCAGTGTGTGTGTGTATCTGGTCAGTGTGTGTGTGTATCTGGTCAGTGTGTGAGTGTATCTGGTCTATGTGTGTGTGTCTGGTCAGCGTGTGTGTGTATCTGGTCAGTGTGTGTGTATCTGGTCTATGTGTGTGTGTATCTGGTCTATGTGTGTGTGTCTGGTCAATTTGGGTCTGGTCAGTGGTTGCTGGTGCGTTCATTCGTGTTGTGTATATGTGTGTGTGTCGTAGTTTGTGTTTGTATTCGTGAATGTGCGTGTGTGTGTGTGTTGTTTGTGTGTACGAGTGTATATGTGTCTTAGCTTGTGCTCCTTTTTCATTTCCTTCATCTACTATTTTGTTTTTGTCAGAATGTTCAACATATGTAGCTCACAAGTGATTAGGTTTTCACTATGGTTTTCTTGTTCCATGCCTCGGATAATGACAAGATAATGGCTTCTCACCTACTCATTTAGCTGATGGATTTCCGTTGTGCCAATACCTGCCTTGTTAGTCGTGTCTGTACCACTCTGTTGGTCAATGATGCAAATGCTCAATTCCTATAATGTTGACGCATTTAACTGAACCCAAAACTTTTTTAACTGCCACTTTTTGACAGTCGTAAAGGATTATCAGCATGTTACAAACTTTTTATGAAAATAAAGCGATATCAGTTCGTGCACTTTCTATTCCAAAACTATCATAAAGAAGACATAGTTACATTATGAAACTTGTTGTAAACATGTGTTTCTCTGAGTAAGGAGCTTTTTGATTCTGTCATTTCAAGATCCAGTTTACTGATAAATCAACTTTCATATCGCTACTTTCACAATGTATTTAGGTACACAAACTGTGTATGAAGTTCCGATACATATTTATCAGAAAAAACCGTTAGAAGGAAGTCTCTAAAAAGGAAAAGGATTAGAATCTTACTTACAAACTAACACTGTACAGGTAAGGAAAATGTTTGAACTATTAATTTGTGTGTATATACTAGGCATGCGGCCTTCATTCAAATATTAATGTACTCTCATCATCACTTTTCGCTTGTGTCTAAATTACATAGGGCAGATGAAATATAATTCACCTCTTTTAAGGGGATGGTGTGGTCAGCATTTTGTCTACCTGCCTTTGTTTCCCTTATGTGAGTAAGGTACCCATCAGATATGCATTCACGTGTCCTAACCGACAACCGAACTCGAGATCTTCGTGCTAATAGCCAAACGCTCTACCAACCGACCACACCGTCTCCCTATTGACGTAGTTATTCAATCCCTAAACATCTGAGTGTAACCCCATAACTTTCCGTAACATAAATCCTAACTATCTTACGTGGATCAACCTATCTAGTCTATCCTTCATGGACCTGCCAATCCCATTTACTTTAACGTTCTCTTAAACCTGTATTGCTTACATTAAATCCACCCCACTCACCTTAACACTACTCTATACCTAGCCTTCATGGACCTTGTTGAGAACTGTAAAGTATTGCTTTTTACTAAATGAGGGTGATGTTTTTGAGTAAGAGATTTTTTTAGGTACTCCTAAAACTCGAGGAGTTATATATGTATATATATATATATATATATATATATATATATATATATATATATATATATATATATATATATATATATATATATATATATATATATATATATATATATATATATATAAAGTCATGAAGGAAATCGTTTGAAATAGAAATGGGGGATTATCAGGGATCTATCTTTAATGAAAATCAAGTGAGGTGACGAAATGTTGCCTATGCCTTTTGTTCCTTAGGAAGCCGAAATGAATGAAAAGAAGAAAATCTTAACCTGGATTCGATCGAACCCAAAAAGTTCTGTTAATTTTGCCTCACGATCAGATTTTGTCAGTGTGGACGGTAAAACCTTTAAGAAGGGTTCGGTGAACTGTTAGGGTTCAAAAATAATAAGAACCACTGATTTAGAGTGTAGCTTGTATAAGGTGCAAGCTTATTTGGTCTACTTGTGGTCGTTTCTTTAGAACAATTTCGATACTAGTATATAACAGCTTAAAATTATCAGTTAGGTTGAACACAGTAACAAAGCTTCAGCAGTCGTCGTGTTTTACCAGTTTTACCTCGTTTAGTAGGTCTAGTGGCCTGAACTATATGAAAATTGCAGTATTAGGAAACAAGCAATCAAATAAACCGGGAGTGATCTCCCCTAAACTTTCTCGAATATTCATATATAACACTACGGGGTATGCAACTCGGGATATAGACAATATTTTTATCCATTTTTAATTGCTTAAACTTTTTAAAAAAAATTCATAAAAAACGTTTTAATAACAAGCTTTTATGTAACAATGCACTAAAAAGTAGAAAATAAATTATAGACTACTATTTAAATAACTATAAAGAAAAGCGTGGGTCACTTTAGTATCTATTGGATACCTTTACTAATGTTAAGGAAGACACCCACGCTTTTCTTTATAGTTATTTAAATAGTAGTCTATAATTTATTTTCTACTTTTTAGTGCATTGTTACATAAAAGCTTGTCATTAAAACGTTTTTTATGAATTTTTTTTTCAGTACTTTACATGTTTTATTTACAATAGAGTTACATGACTAAAAACCATTGCGCGCCTACTGAACATCACGTTCAGTAGGCGCGCAATGGTTTTTGAACGCAGCCATTACGTGATGGCGCAGCTATTGAAGGTGATGACGCGTGTGGTGTGGTTGGCTAGACATGCCTACTAATTCGGTCCAAATTTTAATTAATTAATAAAAAATTAATTAGGCATCCAATTAAGTCAAATTTAGTTTACGATTGCATTGTCTGCATGTCTTGACCCACGTGCCAACTGTGAATCGTGTCGGTCAAGTAGAAGTTTCCGAATTTTCACTCCTGCGTTTCTATCTAGACAGACTGACGACAGAGGAAGTGAGTTAAATAAAAGCTTGTAAAAAAAAAATTCATAAAAAACGTTTTAATAACAAGCTTTTATGTAATGATGCACTAAAAAGTAGAAAATAAATTATAGACTACTATTTAAATAACTATAAAGAAAAGCGTGGGTCACTTTAGTATCTATTGGATACCTTTACTAATGTTAAGGAAGACACCCACGCTTTTCTTTATAGTTATTTAAATAGTAGTCTATAATTTATTTTCTACTTTTTAGTGCATCATTACATAAAAGCTTGTTATTAAAACGTTTTTTATGAATTTTTTTTTCAGTACTTTACATGTTTTATTTACAATAGAGTTACATGACTAAAAACCATTGCGCGCCTACTGAACATCACGTTCAGTAGGCGCGCAATGGTTTTTGAACGCAGCCATTACGTGATGGCGCAGCTATTGAAGGTGATGACGCGTGTGTTGTGGTTGGCTAGACATGCCTACTAATTCGGTCCAAATTTTAATTAATTCATAAAAAATTAATTAGGCATCCAATTCAGTCAAATTTAGTTTCAGATTGCATTGTCTTCATGTCTTGACCCACGTGCCAACTGTGAATCGTATCGGTCAAGTAGAACTGTCCGAATTTTCACTCCTGCGTTTCCGTCTAGACAGACTGGCGACTGACGAGGAAGTGAGTTAAATAAAAGCTTGTAAAAAAATAGAATAGGATCTCGTTGAAAAAAGAATTGCGCACCAAGTGAACGCTAAACAAAATGTGTATAATAGTGCAGAATATTATTAATACTTTATGAATTCACATGCGTTTTTGGAGAAATCAGAAATAGTGTAAATTACTACTTCCGGTCAACGAAAACAACTCAAAATTTGGAAGAAGGCAGAGAAAAATTATATCGTTTTTACTTACAAGTAAAATTTCATTTATCTATCTGAAATAGTACTCAAGTTATAGGCTTATAAAAAAAAATTGAACGTAGAAAAAGTTCCACTTCCGGTTATATCGCTGAAAAGTTGATACAGAACTACTTATTTGATATAATACTTGTATATGAGATTTCGTCAACCTAGCTGTAACAGTACTCAAGTTATCGTGTTCACTTAAACACACATAAACACATACACACACAGACACGGACAAGATTGCAAAACTATTTTTATTCCGATCCAGGGAGGTGTAAAACGTCGAGATTTGCAAAAATCTCGATTTTTTACTTTCTCGTATATACGAAGTATAGAGAAAGTATTGTAATCGTTTTACACCTCACTGATACGGAAAAACATAATTTTGGAATCTTGTCCGTATGTCTGTGTGTCTGTGTGTGTGTGTGTGTCTGTGTGTAAACACGATTACTTGAGTCCCGTTACAGCTAGGTTGATGAAATTTCATATATTTTATCAAAATCGTAGATCCGTATCAACTTTTGAGCGATTTCCAATAACCGGAAGTGGTATTTTTTCTACTTTGAATTTTTCAAAAGCCTATAACTTGAGTACTATTTCAGATAGATACTCAATTACGCAATTTCCGATTTCTCAAAAAACGAATGTAAATTTATAAAGTACTAATAATATTGCGCACATATTGCGCATATTTATGCACATTTTGTTTTGGCGTTCGCTTGGTGCGCTATTCATTTTTCCACTAGATTTTATTCTATTTTTAAAAGTTTAAGTAAACAAAAATCATGTCTATATTCTGAGTTGCCAACCCACGTAGTGTTAGATTAGAATATTCGAGAAAGTTTTGGGGAGTGATCACTCCCGGTTTATTTTTGCGCGATTATAATACTTTCTCCATGCTCTGTATACGAGAAAGTAAAAATAATCAATTCGCTACAATAAACAAATTTTCTAGTAAACAGGTTATATTATTCTTAGCTCTTACAATTTCGTCCAAAGAGTAACGTCTTCCATTCACCCGTTCCAATCCGCTATTTTACTGATCAAATAGCGGTATTTATTTCTCAGGTAAAAGTATCTGATCTCTCATGTTGAAGTTAAGATAATCTTAAGAATCTTACAAAGAGCTAGTCACATCATTTTTTAACAAAAACGGGTAGTGAAATCGTACAGTACGCATTTATACAATTGGTTTCTATTCTGAATGGTAAACGATTTATCTACTCACCTTTCCGGTGTAAATTCTTCATATTTACCTAAGCAAAAAAAGCGCCCCCATCACCTTTTTTTCTTAAGTTACTGTTATTCAATACCTTCCAATACAACTGGTTTCTTATCCCAGCGCTAGAATAGTTATCTATTCACCAATTCAGTACAAATCCTTGCGATTTTTGTTGGAAAAAAACGCCCCCCCCCCCACCCCCTCCGCCATCACCTTGTTGGACAATGTTGGACAAAGACACTAACTTTTTTTAATGTTACGCAATTGTACAAACAGCTTTAACACAATTGGTTTCTTTTCTAAGTGATAAAGGTTATCTACTTATCAATTACACAATCAAGGTAGAAAACAGTTAAATCAGTATGCGAAGGCTTGTACATTTCCTAACTTTAAGCTTATAATAAAAAAATGTAGCTTAAAATGAGCTATCAATTTTTTTGTGCCTCTTTTGGCGCCCCCTTGTGGTCGCCCCCCCCCCCTCCCCCCCACCCCCGATACGCCTCTAGACTGTGAGTCACACCACTGTGTTGTGATGTCCTACCTTTGTAGGCCTCCGAGTCACACCATTGTATCCTGGCTGTAGAACATGACGTCAACACCCCTCTGTGCGAGACTGTCTTTAAATGACGATCGTTAATTAACGTTTTACTGCTTATGTAGACAGGTAATGAAAACATTTCAGGCACCTGGTTAACTCAAGACAACAAGACCTGGATTAGGTCACCAAGACCCTATCACGTGATATCACTTGATATCACGTGTTGTACCAGTTCACACACACACACACATATACACACTTTTGGGCTCTACTGCTCTGCATTATTGCTTAATTAAAACCTGCTAAATATTACTGCAAAAATTCTTGACAAGATACATGGCCCGTTGAGGGAGAAATCAACGAGCTCTGGGGTTTTCGTCTTTTCTATACCAAAAA